AAAAAAAAAAAAAAAAAAAAAACCAACACAACAACAACACAATAAAGGCTTTTGCCCACATTTCCCCCTGTTCTTTATATCTCTTGGCCAACCCTGGTGCTTCCTCCATGTAGCCCTGCATGGTGCACCTTGTCCTCCTGTCTCAAGCAATGATCTCCTGATCTATTGACCTCACCATATCTAAATAAAACCAAAATCCTAAGTGCATTTTAAAATATGTCTGCTTTCTGCACTAATGAAATCCCTGAGGCCAAGAAGTCAAAAAAACCTGGACCCTTGTACTCCAGTTTCTAATCCTTCTCTTGCCCTGAAGCCCTCACTCTCTCCCAGGAGCCCTGATACTGGACAGATGCCCTTGACTTTGAGAACTTCCTTTTTTCCAAGAACCCCCATTTCACCTTAGCTTAGAATTCCTTCCTATTGCACCTTCCATTAAGGATTCCCTTCTTGCCAATTGGTTTCTCTTCAGGAATGTGACAGACAAGGTCCTCTCTCAGGCTATTTCTCCAATCTGGGTGGCCAAGGAGAGCAACAGGAGTCTGGGTAAGTGATGCTGAGGCCTGCAGAAAAGGCAGCACTTATTCCATGCCTGTAGCTTTAGTTTCTTCTGTATCCACTGATTGTTTTGCTTACAAACAATTGCTTACAGTGTTGTCCCCCAAGCAACTGTGCCGTCCTGGGATACCGAGCCCAAAGCCTTCTGGCTTCTTCCACCGAGGAGTGTGGCACTCGCTGTCCTGCTCCAGCCGCTCCTTCCCCACTGTTGACAGCATCCTGGACTGCCTGGCTGGTCGCGTGGTCCACATGATGGGGGACTCCACGCTTCGCCAGTGGTGGGAGTATCTGCGTGACACTGTGCCTTGTGAGTGGCCTTAGAGGGAGGGGGCAGGACTCCTAAGAGAAAAAGAGCAGAACCAGGGCTTTGAGAAGGCAGAAAACCTCTACCTGGATTCACAAGAGTGATGTAGAAGGACAGAACACCTGGGTTTGGGCCACAGTAAGGGATGGGAAATAGTGCCCAGATTATGCATAATCTCAAATTGAGATCAGAGGCTCTAACAGGAGAGTAGATATGTTGATGAGCCGTGAATAGATATCCTTGGCTGGAACTAATTATTTGCTTGGGGGACCCTGGAGGAATAGAGTTGGAATTTAAGAAAATAATTGTAGAGAAACCAGGGGTTTTGTCTTGTAACATTTGGGAGACACTAAATGTTTTTAAGCAGAGTTTTCGGTTTGTTGGATAGATTGGATTGAAAAAGAAAGACCAAAGATAAGTTATAAAACAATTGCATAATCAACATGTGAGATGATAAGAGGCTAAACTGGTACATAAATAGAATGCCAGCAGTAAATGAAGTATTATGCTGGAGGAATTGACAGTCTTGTTGACTGGTTCTGGAATGAAGGGAGATGATCAGATTACTGTATGTAACCATAAAATGAACTCAGAATAAAAATCACTGGGGTGCTTACAGGAGTGAGAGAAGACAGGGTATTTATTTTATACCTTTTCATATTGGGTTAAAAAGGTGGCATGGGAGGGGGTTTCTGTGGAGCTTGTGAATGAGGCATTTGAACATGAGATTGGAAGCAAATTGAGATGTCTGAGCTTCAGATAGACTTTTGGTATTTATTCCTCTGAAGATAAAGCTCAAGGAGGTGAGACTGTCACACAGGGTCTCTGCCTTTCAGGCACAAATTCCATAATATAACATAACAGGGGTTAAGGAATATGCTTTATTGGAGAAAGGGGCAACATGAAGGCAAGGAAAGAAAGAGCATCAGTTCCCAGCCCCAGCCCCCACTTGTCCTCCCACCATCCTCAGAGAGGTGTGCGGGGGCCCACAGGGTGGGTCTGTGCTCTCTTGGAGGAGACCTCCCACACATACACACACCATAGTTCTTCCTTCTCACCTACATGCAGGAAAGCAGCTTTGTTGGGCTTCTTGGCACAAGATACATGTGAGCTGCGATTTGTTTACAGAAGTTAGAAAACACCCGCTGCCTCCACCTGGGGACTTTGAAGTTTGTGGGATCTTTTCTACACTCTGGCTCTAGGGATTGAAGCTCTCACCTCCCAGGAGGGTCAGTCTGGGTGCAGCTCCTCCCTCTGGGAAAAAAGAGGGCTCCAGTCCCAACTAACTTAATGTTAGACAATGTTGAGTGACTTCCCCAGGTCATTTTGGGACAATTCTCCTCCTGGCCAAGTGGAGTGGGTGAGTTTCCTAGGCAAGAGATGTTTTTAAAGATAGATGGAAGGTCATGACAGAAGGTTAGAAAAACCAGACACTCTGCTAGCTGATCTGGCACCTTTCTGTGGAATAGAGAAAGGTGCCCCTCTGTGCCTACACACCATGGAGCACCCAGTGGGGCAAGCAGGAAGTGACTTTGTGCAAAGAAAGGAAGGGTCTTTTCCTGCAGGTGTGCATAGCTCTTTATCAGGGCACATGACCAAGCAGACAGACTGTATTTCAGGAGCCTCAGGCTCTATAGGCTGGCCACCATGGTGCAAGGACATAAACTGGACAACTCTGTTTCTCTGGCCTGGCTCAAGACTTCATCCACAGGTGGCTGAAGGGAGCCAGTGAATGAATCTGAGTTGTAGTGCTAGGTCTGAAAGGAGGCTGTAGAGAGTGACAACACACTGCTAAGAAAGGAGAGGGATTCCAAAGGAAAATAATGGGACAGAGTGCTACAAGGAGCCAGGGAGGTGAAGGACTGATAATAGGTCTTCAGACTTGGTAACTAGGAAGTCACTGACAAGATTATGGATTAGGGAGAGCAACCGGGGGTGATTGGGCCATAGAATGATAGAGGAAAGTGATGTTAGATCTTCTGTATTTTTAAGTACAGTCCTATATTAACCCCTAAGCCTCCTCTCTCGGCCTCCCTCCAGCCCTGAAGCCCATGGATCTACACACCACATATCAGACAGGGCCCCTAATGGCTGTAGAGACCACTCGGAACATAGTGCTGCACTGGCGGGCCCACAGATGGCCCCTGCGCTCCCCCCGCACACCAGTCGCCTCCCTGCACTCCGTGGTCCGGGAGCTGAGGGGCCTGGCCGGGGGCCCCCACACTGTGGTGGTGCTCGGGCTGGGCGCCCACTTCACCACCTTCCCTCCATCCACTTTTGTGCGACGACTGGCAGGGATCCGGGAAGCTGTGGCTGCGCTGCTGGCCCGAGAGTCTCGCACTCTTGTGGTCATCAAACTGGCCAACACCGGCTACAAGTCCGTGTATGGCAGTGACTGGTTCACCCTGCACGTGAATCGGCTCCTCCGAGCTGCCTTTGCAGACCTCCGTGTGGCCTTTGTGGATGCCTGGGAAATGACCTCCAGCCTGGCCCTGCCCGACAGCATCCACCCAGGGCGGCTCATTGTCCGCAATGAGGTGGACTTCCTCCTCTCCTTCATCTGCCCCGCCTGAGCACTTCTGCCAGTCCTGATGTGGTGATCAAGCCTGCAAGCTCTGCCTCTCAGCCCATTGCTCCCCTTGTCTGACCACTTTCTAATGCACAGGCCATAAAAACAACCAGCAAGAATTGGGATGTAGGTGGTGGCAGGGAGGACAGCCTGGTAGTGGTCCAGCGCATCTTGAGAGGCTTAGTTCCTACGTGGAGAGGCAGTGCTGAGGGGGTGAGGGTAAGGACAGAGCCAGCAACATATTCTACATCAGTGCGAATGAGATTGTCATTTTATGCGTTGGAGTTTCCGCCTAGAGTATCAACAAGGCTTGCAAATGTATGAGATTATTCCATTTCACTTCATCAGAGCCACCTTAATGGAAAGGCTGATTTTATATATAGATGTACTTTTCCAATAATTTTTCAATGTGTAAAAAATGTTTTCTTTCCCTCCTCCCTTATTTTTTTAAACTTGAGATGTATGTGATGGATTTATTCCAAGGTCCTAATGAATATTAAAGAGGATTTTGGTATGCTCCTTGGTGAGTCCATGTTCTCCGATCTATCTGCAGTGCCAACCTTGGGCTGTCTACTTCCAGACTTCTCTTTATGTGAGAAAAATAAGTTCTTCTCATTTTTAAGCTCTTAGGTGTTATTTGTTTATGTAATTCCTAGCTGAATCCATGTCATAATTCACACAATTGTGGATTTTTCACCTTGCCATTTAGACCATTTTTCTTTTACATGTTTGAAGTCCATGTTATTATGCACATACCAGAAAATCTGGCACAAAACAGCCAGCATCAGGGCATCACTTATAAAATCACTGGTTTTTAAAGATAAAGAAAGAACCCTTTAGGTATTTAAGCAAAAAAAGCTTAAGTCACTTATAAGAGAAAAAATTAGATTGACTTAAATTAATAAAACATTCAACACTAGAAGACAGTGGAATAATACTTGCAAAGCCAGCAAACTAAAAAACTTAAGAATTTTACACTTAGCTGAAGTATTATTCAGAGGCAACAAACACTTCAAATATGTAATAACTCAGGAAATATAGTTGATTTTCTAAAAGAATGACAAAAGCCAAACTTCAGTCAAACAAAATATTACTGATATGATCCAGCAATTTCCCTTCTGGGTATTTATCCAAAGGAAAGGAAAACACTAAGTTGAAAGCTATTTGGACTCACATGTTCATTGCAACATTATTATTTGCAATAGCCAAGACATAGAAGCAAGCTAAGTGTCCATAGATGGGTTAATGGATAAAGAAAATGTATGTATAAACAAAAGAAATGTATGTATAGACAATGGCCTTATTCAGCCATTTAAAAAGAGAGAAATCTTGCCATTTGCAACAACGTAGATGGATTTGGAAGGTATTATGCTAGGTGGAATAAGTCAGACAGAGGAAGGTAATTACCATATGATCTCACCTATATGTGAAATCTGAAAAAACAAAACAAAAATGAGCTCATTGATACAGGTTACCAGAGGTAGGGGGTGGGGCATGAGTGACATAAATAAAGGGGGTCAAAAGGTACAAACTTATAGTTATAAAATAAATAAGTCCTGGGGAAGTAATGTACAGCATGGGGGCTATAGTAAATAATACAGTATTGCATGAGAAGTCTACCAAGGCCTCGTCTCTGGAGGTGTCACATGAAGGCAACTGAATGGTGTCAGCTGGAGAATCTAGAGGCTCAGGAGGAGTGCTCTATTCAGAGCTAACTGGTCAACCTTCAACTTCTACCACATTCAAATTAATGAACCAACTGAAAGACTGTGACTAACAATTCATTATTGTCCTGTAATAGTCTACTTGCTGGAGTGTGGTTTGAACATCTAGACATAGAATTTTAAAAATCATTTTCGTCATACTGATTATCCTACCTATAAAATTTAGTTAAATCTACAAAGTTAATACCTACATATAGTTCTCCTATGTTGAGTAACAGAAATGTTTAGGGAGTGAGGTATTATCATTACATGTATATTGTGATTAAATATGGGTTAAAAATCTTTAAAATACTGTATTGCATATTTTTAGAGTTGCTAAGAGAGTAAATCTTAAAAGTTAACATCAAGAAAAAATCTGTAACTGTGTGGAGATGGATGTTAACTAGTTACTGTGGCGATCATTTCACAATATATGTATACATTGGATCAATATGTTGTACACCTAAAACTAACAATGTTATCTGATAATTATATCCCAATTAAAAAATAAAAGAGGGTGTTTCCTGGTTAGTCATTTGGTAGACTTTCCCTAGTGATATATTTCTGTTCTTGCTACAACTTTTTAAAATAAATTCAAATCTAAAAGAAAAAAAACACTGCCTTATAGCAATCTGTAAATTCTTAGCCTCTTTGATGAAGCAATGATAAAGAATAAAGGTGAAGCAGATACATACTTAATCTTGCACTCCGCTTCCCTCCTCATGGTAGTTATTTTCTGTTAATATACTGCAACATGTCACGGTCACACCCACATTTTCACAGCCTAGTCTTAATGATGCCTGTGTCAGCTTCAGGTTCTTACAGAGGTCTTTCATAAGAACAAAAGAAACCCTTTTGTTTTTTATTCACAGTCTTTACCTTTCAATGTAAAAGACAAAAATGCATATAGTTTTTTAAAATTTGTAAAGCAAAGCTCCCAATTCTCAGGACATAGAGAGTCTCATGGGTTTCCATTCTTCTGGCTGTCTCTCTGGCTTATATTCATTTATTCAAAACTATTTATGGACCCTCCACCCCCCAAAAAAGTATTTACTGAGAACCTGTTATATGCCAGGCTCTGTGCAATGTACAGGGGATGGCACAGAGAGCAAAAGCAAGCGCAGTCTCTGCTCTCGTGGAGCTCCTAGCAGGGAGAGAGTATTCAATCAAATAGACATAAGGGGGTAAATTGTGATTGGTGTTAGGAAGAAACAGCCCCAGGTACCATGAAGCTGAATCACAAGTTACACTGATCTGGTTTGGGGGTTGGGGAAAACTTCCCTGAGGAACAGGGTTTGTGTTGAGGTGTAAAGAACCCATAGAAGTTAATTAGAAGGTGGAAGTAGAATTAGGGAGCAGAAGCAGTTCAGATAATGCAAACATCAGACTGGTGCCTTGCGGTGGCAAGTTGTGTGGGAAGTTTGAGGAACTGGAAGATGAGCAGGATGCCTGCACCTGGAGAGCAAGGGGCCGATGGGCCGATGAAGAGAGAGGTGGGGAAGGGGCAACAAGCATGGCATGGAAGGCCATGATTTTAAAGGTTTGATCTTTCACATAATAGGACACCATTAAAGAGTTTTTGGCAGGGCAAGTTGACTCTCCTACTCAGAACTCTCTGTATTTTTAAATCAGTTTTTTTGTAAACCTAAAACTTACCTTAAAGAGTTTATTTTATTTTTTTAATGAAACCAATAGGAGGCTAGATTATCCATTTGCTCCTCATGCCCCTAAATGCACTCTCCAACCTTCTCCACCCTGCGTGCCCAAGAGGCTGATTCCTATTGACCACATAACACAGGAGCCTTTACCCTCTGCTTTCCTATTGGGACCTGCCTACGGGAGACACCTGCTGATGAAGGGGAGGCTGTCCTCTCCTTATTGAATCACCCTGAGCTGCTATTTGCCTCCCCCAAAGGCCCTCTCCCTACAACTAGGGATATTTATTCCAGGTCCTAATAGTTGTTTCCTCTCTTGGCCCCTTCAGGCATATGAGTGACAAGAGAAAAGTTCTGAGATGGACTAAATTAAATTACAGCAGACTGAAGGGTAAGAAGAAGAGACAAGAAATTAGTCAGCAGAAGAAAGGTGCCTCAATTTCACTGTGGGTAAAACAGATAACAACACACCCACCATAGAATGGATGTTTAGTGCTTGACTCAGACAAGAGGGTTCCATGAAAATTTAGTGCCTGACTCAGATAAGAGGGTTCCATCTTCAGGCCTGGGAGAAGGGGTAAGAAAAGCAGACTCAGATAAGCAGGGGCTGCCTGGCTGTCCTTGGGTGAAGTGTGGAAGAAAACTGTTAGGATTGGGGAAGAAACGGGTTTAAAAGGAAATTGGTTTGCCGCATCCATCTCCAGAAGACCAAGGCCACTTCTTCTGATGAAATCATGTCCACCTACCCCCACAATCTACTCAGTAAGTTGATGCCAACCTCATTCTGGGGAGGCAATGGGCAGAGCCTCCTGTGAGTCACCAAAGGTCCCAGTCCCCAGTCTCTCACCCTGTTCACCACCACTCACAGCTGGCAGTGCCCTCTATTAGAGATGGTCCCAGGGACTGTCACTGAGGTGACTCATTACTGCTCTGAGTCTTTTTTTTTTGAAGGGTTTTTTTGTTTGTTTAATACACCTGAAAAGAATTCATATACAAAGAATTGAGACATAAGAAAGCAATGGTTCAATACTAATGAATCTACAAGAATTAGGACTTGGGGAAGGTGCAGAAGATTACCTAAACACCTCATATATACCAGGTCTTCAGCTGTGTTCCACAAACACCATATCATACCCTATTAAGCTGCACATCTATGCTAAGCATATAAGACAGTGACTGACAAGGAAAAAATGTTTTGTTTTTTAAAATTATGTACTTAATCCATTTGGTATATTTCAAAAGGTGCAATACTTTTCTTCATTTATCAGTGAAAGTTAGACATTAACTTAAAAAAAGTCAGCAAATGGCTGACAAATTTCCCTGAAAGTCAGTCACATATATAGTGCATCCTAGAAAAGAGGAGGGGCAAGACAGGCTCCACCACTTTCATGAGTTTCATCAAACACTGAACCTGCTCAGGGTGGAGAGAGGGGCATTCGCTGCACCCTCCCTAAGAGCGCCGGGCGAGCACGCTGCCCCAACGAGCTGGGAAGAGGGGCGCCCCACCACGCCGTCCTCCTCTCCCAAGGGGCTAGCCAGCGGTTAATGAACTTCCTAGAAACGGCTGAATAAAAACAACTCACACTCCCCCCGCCCCCCAAAAAGAAAAAACCCTAGATGCCCCAGACAGCTCCCCAGAGCGGAGCCCGGGAGCAGCTTCAACAACCGGAATTAGTCTGTTACGGAGTCACCACAGGCATGCCTTGCTTTAAAAAAAAATAAAATAAAATAAAATTTTTTTTGAAACAACAAAACAAAAACTAGTACTGATCACTTTTCTGACAATATGCAAGTGCTCAAAATTAACTAGTATTGGGGGGGGGAGGGACCATACCTATGGGCTTTGTTTCACACAAGTGCATATGGGTAGGTGCAGGGCATTTGTCATTATTGCAAAAATGAATTTTAATTTTTAATCTTTAGTTTGATTTAAACATTGCTTTTAGTATAATGCTGACACCAGCTGTGCAGAAAGGGCTCTGGAGAGATGTTCATAGCAGCACACACCTGCGGCTCTTCTTCGGTTCTGGAGGCTCCAGGGCAGCCACTATTGCTTCATCAAATACATTCTTTAGGCCTTTCTGTGTGTGTGTCCACATACTTGACAGCCTTCAGGTCACAGGCCAGCTTTTCAGCAGTCTCTGGAATGATAGATTTCTGTTTGTTCTTGGCAAGTTTCTCAATAGAGGGGTCATCTCTGAGATCAATTTGGGTTCCAACAAGCAAGAAAGAAGTCTTTGGACAATGGTGAATTATCTCAGGCCCCCTCTTTTCTTTCACATTTTCAAATGAGGATGGAGAAACCACAGAAAAACAGACTAGAAATGCATCTGTTTGTAGATAACTCAGCAGTCGTAGTCTGTCATAATCCTCTTGCCCTGCAGTATCAAAAAGTCCAAGAGTATATGGCTCTCCACCAATCATAACTGTCACTGCATAGTTGTCAAAAACAGTCGGGCCTGGCCGGACGTGGCTCAGCGGTTCAGTGTCGACCTAGGATCCAGACGATCGGGGTTTGATTCCCGGTCAGGGCACATGCCCAGGTTGTGGGCTAGGCAGCCGATCAATGACTCTCTCATCATTGATGTTTCTCTCTCTCTCTCCCCCCCTCCTTTCCTCTCTCTGAAATCAATAAAGATATATTAAAACAAAACAAAAAAACAGTCCGTACATATTCAGATGGAAATTTGTTTGTTGTGTAGGATGTCAGGAGACATGTTTTTCCAACAGCACCATCACCCACAACAATGCACTTAATTGTCTGCATTGCTGAAACAGTTCTCTATCCACTTTAAATTATTTCAAATCTGATGATGACCTCAGCTTCTCCACCGGGAGAAGCACTCAGAGCAGCACTCGGCTCTGAGTCTCAATACCCTCTATCCAGGGAAGACTCTGGATTAGCCAGGTCACCACAGCTGTGGATGGAATCACCTAAGGAGCATTATAAAAAGACAGCCTCCTGGGGCTCACCCCCCCAGAGTTCTGCACTCTGATGCCGAGGCCTAGAGATTCTGTGGTGCAACCAGATGGAAGCATCCAGAAGGAACAGAAGGTTCTGTGGATTCAACAAGACTGGAGCTCGAGTTCTGGACCCATCACTTGAGAGGCATGGACTTGGGGCACACCCTCTCTGAGCCTTGGTCATCTCATATGTGAAGTGAAGACAGAGGGCCCTGCAGATCCAGACTTGAATTCTGTGGGTAGAGGCCTGGCTTCCAGAAGGGAGCTGGAAGTGTCAGACCATGCTCACGTCTTAACCTCAGGGAGGGTGTGAGATGCACAGAGGGGACAGAATGGGCCTGTAGATCTTGTTTCTGCTTGTGTACTATAGGGGAGGGGAGGGCCCAAGAGCCAGCTGGATGCACCTGGGGCCGGGCTGGAGGCTGAGGGTGTCCACCAGCACCTCCCTCCTTCTCTCCAAGGGGCTGTAGCTGGGCAGACTCATGGCTGCCTTTCCTCTCTTGAAAGAGCAGGAGCTGGCCCTGCTGTTGCCCCCTCCCCTGCAATGAGAGAAACAGAGGCTGGCTGAGAGAAAGCAGAGAAAAGGAGAGGGACAAAAGGAGAGAGAAAGAGAGATGGGACTGACCCCTAAGGAGATGAGAAAGTGCCTGGCAGACACAGGGAGTTGAGGTGGGAGGGGAGAGGCCCCAGGGAGCCAAGGTCAGGACCACACACATCAGCATGAAGATGGGGACTGGGGGACCTATATCATGGCTCCTTTTCACTCACAAGGGAAGCACTTTTGCAATACAGATAAAGAAGAAGCGAGATTAAAAGGGAAGTGCTGGTCACACTGGGGCAGGCGTGTTTGGGGAAGGCTCCCACAGTCCTCGCCCAGCGGCCAGACAAGCCTGAGGCAGCCCCTCCCCAGGGCCTCCCGGCCTAGAGCTCTGCTTGTCTTCTCACCCTCGGGAGGAGAGCAAGGCGATGGGCCTGCCCCTGCTGCTGCCCCTGCTGCTGCCCCTGCTGCTGCCGCCAGCGTCTCTGCAGGCTGGTGAGTGGACAGGCCCCCTGGCTCTGCCCGGGGACATGAGGGAGCCCCTGGGAGGGGCTGTGGCCAGCCAGGCTTCCCGCCTGCAACAAACAAGGGGCTGGGCTCGCCCACAGTGCTGGGTCCCCCACACCCCTCACCCTCCTTTCTACGCCAAGCCCAGAGAGGGGGACACCCAGCCAGGGGGCCAGTCCTATCATCTGTCACACTTCTGCCCATAGGTGAGGGTGTCAGGTGGTCTGGGTTATCGCCTTTGTCTCTCCTAGTGGCTTCAACGTCTCCCCCTCTCCCTCCCTCCTCCAGGTGGCTCCGCAAAATGCACTTCAAACTCTGACTATGAAGTCAACCAACCAAAGCACCTCTCAGCCCCGCAGGGTGGCTCCATCGACATCCCCTTCTCCTTCTGTTTTTCCTGGGAGGTTCCCAAGGATCCCAGAGTGCGAATATCCTGGAGATGGAAAGACTTCCATGGACAGTTCATCTACAACACAAGCCCGCCTTTCACCCATGAGGATTTCAAGAACCGCCTCTTCCTGAACTGGACAAAGGGCCAGAGGAGCGGCTTCCTCCGAATCTCTAACCTGAGGAAAGAGGATGAAGCTCAGTACTTCGGCCGAGTCCAGTTGACCACACAGGGACTCCGCGAGATGTTCTGGCAGTCCATCGAAGGGACCAAACTCACCATCACCACAGGTGAGTCCCACTGCTCCGGCCACTGGTGCCCTCACCCCCCAGGACTAGTCCAGGCGCCGCTCTTCCTGACCTTTCTCTCTAACTCCTCTCCCTGCCCCTGACTTCTTCCCAGGCCTCTGCCAACTTTACCTTTTTCACCATAATCTCCCCCAGACTACCTTCCTTGCCCATCCCCCTCACTGCCCCCTCCAGAACCAGCCCCCGACCCCATCCCCAGGCTTCAGCACCTTCCAGGCTCCCTGGTTATCCTCCCTTCTTGCTCCAAGCTGGGGCTCCAGTCCTGTCCCCTGCCCCTTGCCCTCCCCCCATGTCCTCCAGGTGGACTTGACTTTTATAGGATGTGGCCTGCCTTCCCTTTGTCATGTGTCTGTGTGTGGAGCCCCAGCTAGCCCCATGTCTGTGTCTCCCCACAGCCACGAGCTCAGCCTGGCACACACAGGAGGTACCCAGTAATGGCCCAAGGACGCCCCCCTCCACCCCTGGTAACACCCCATCACCTGTTTCCCAATCTCCCTGCTTCCTTTTCCCACTTTGCTCCCCAGAATATAGCCCTCAATGCTCCCTCCCCAGTCCCATCTTTCTTTTCCTTCCCCATCTCCCTCTACCTGTCTCCATCCTCTTTGCCCTCCTTTCCTCCCCACAGGAGAGCCCCTGCGTTGTCCCCCTTCCCCATCCTGCTCCTGCTCCTCTGTCCTGGTTGTTAGAGGCCCCTCTGCAACAGCAATAAGGGCAGTTCCCACATACTGTGCACTGTGTCCCACTGACTCCTTGGTACACATCGCCCTAGTTAACCTGCACCACAATAACAGTATGTACTGTTATCATCTACGTTACAGATGGGGAAACTGAGGCTTGCAGAGCCTAACCACTGGCCCAAAGTCCCGCTAGTTGTGCAGGCAGGGTTTGAACCCAGTTTAATCCCAGAGCCTCCTCTATAAACCACTAGCCCCTCTCCTCACCTATTGACTGGATCATCTTGTTATCCTGACCTATTTTTACCCTACTATGGGCTGTGTTGCATTAATAGTCCTTCTTATATTACTCAGTGAGGCACGGAGTGTTAACCCTGGGTTTATCTGTCTCCAGGGCAAATACTGGGTGATTCCACTTATACGAGGTACCTAGAGTAGTCAAATTCATAAAAACAGAAAGTGGAATAGTGGTAGCCAAAGGCTGTGGAAGTAGAGAATGGGGACTTGGTGTTTAATGGGGGCACATTTTCGGTTTGGGAAGATGAAAAGGCTCTGGAGGTGGCAGATGGTGAGAGCTGCACAGCAGTGTGAACATGCTCGATGCCACCGAACTGTACACTTACATATGGTTAAAATGGTAAATGTTATGTTATGTGTCTTTTACCACAATAAATGCTTTTTTTAATCCTGTGAACTAGTTACTCCTATTTGTAGGTGATGAAATGAGGTTCTGAGGTCACAGCACTGATCGGTGGTAGAGTCAGGGTTTGAACTGAGTGATGTGGGTTCTCAGCCTTCAGCATCTCACCTTGGTGATCCCCTTCTGGTATAAGAGCTCCAGGGGTTGCTCCCCACCCCTAATATTCCCCAAACTAGGGAACAGGATGTGACAGTTTCATCCAGATCCCTCCAGTCCTCTAAGAGTGAATTTGCTTATTTCTCATGTCTCCTCAGCCAGTGAGAAAACCACCGAGGGCCCCACCAGCACCCCGACCCTCACCACAGATGGCCTCGGTGTCTCAAGAGACAAAAGGAGATCTGGGTTTTGGCCCTTGAGTATGGAAGCTGTAGTCAGCATGGCAGTGGCCAGCACTGTGCTCAAAATCACAATTTTGGGACTGATAGTCTACCTCAGGTGGAAGAGAAGCAAAGGTGAGTCATCCAGGACCTTGCCCTCTCCCCAGGTTTTCCAACTGGCTGGATCTCAAAACCACCTGCACCAGAATGACCACACATCCCTGCTGGGATGAGACCTGGACCTGGGAGTCTTCATTGTAAACAGTGTCCTCCAGTGCTGCCTGGCAGTGATCAAGTTTGAAAACCACGGCTCTAAACCAGCCCCTCTCCGCAAGTCTGATGGTTTTCCAGTTCTCATCTCTTGGCTTAACCATTTCTCATCGGCCCTCACCTTTTTATTCATGGAGAGGGGAGAGTCTACCCTGAAAAACTTAAGGAGAAAGGAGAAGGAACAGGAAGTTGGCTCAGCTTAGCAAGCATTGGTGGGGCACCCATTTTCCAGGGCCTGACTTGTAATTAGAGATGCAAAAGAAATAAAGCAGAGACCTTGCTTTCATGGGACTCAGTGGGGGAGGGACAGGGAGGGAGCAGTTGCCAGAAGGGTTATTGCTTCATTTGGAAAGAGCTATGGTAGTTGGAATGAAGGTAATCAAGGAGGACATCCCAGAGGAGGTGACACCTGCAAAAAGTCTCAAAGACTAAAAAAGAATTAGCCAGGCAAGTGGCAAGGGTGGTGCAGAGGTCATTGTTTGTCCAGGAGAAGGAACCATTCTGGGAACTGTAAGTAGCTCAGTGCTATGGAGGAGGCAGGAGATGGGAGACGTGAAGCAGCCAGGTGGCAACGTCACTTCCTCTTACGGTTACATCAGTCTTTAGTGGAAGCACCGGACATGGGCCAGGCTGGCTTCATTCTAATGCAGTAGCAGCTTGAGTGGAAGGAGGGAGCCAGGTTCTGGAAAAGGTTAAGAGGGAACCAATAAGACTTGGGGGTTGGATTGATGTAGGGTTGAGGGAGCCAGAAGTCCTATGTTTACAACTTGGGTGAACAAGGCTATGATGAAACCACCAAGTGAATTAGGGAACATAGGAGGTGAAAGGCCACGTTTAGGGGAGAAAAATAATTCCTCCAGTTCGGGATATGTTATATTTGAGACACTTGTGTGGCATCTGAGTAGGGATGTCCATCAGAAATTTGGATGTATGTGTTTACAGCTCAAAGAGATGACTGGGCTAAAGGCATTAATTATTTGTACCCCAACACCCTCCAAAATTGATTTGAAATTACTTTAAAGAAAATTTGCAATGAGAGAGTTTCCCTCTTAGATATTAAAACATAAAGGTGAAGAGCATAGAATCTGGACTGTCTGCAGTCAGTCCTGGCTGGATCAACTCTGGCACAATGGTACTATTACTCTGTACTCAACAGTAAAATGGGGATAATAATAGTAATTATCCTGGGGGTTGTCATGACAATTAAACACAATGCATTTAGAATAGACCCTTGCACAGAGTAAGCACTAGATGAGCATTAGCACTTATAATTATCAAGCTACAATAATCAAAGTGATTCAGTACTAGCATATAATGATAAACAGATAACAGTTAAAGTAATGGAAGAAAAGAAAAAATTCAAATATAAGCAGAATAAAAACAGACCCAAAAGTATGCAGGAATTTAGTAGGTCAAAATGTAGCATGTCTAATCAATGGGGAAAGATGAGTAATTCAGTACATAGTGCTGGAATAATTGCATAGCCATCTGAGAAAAATAACATTGTCTCCCTACCTCATAATTTGCACCAAAATAAATTTCATGAAGATCCAAGATTCAAAGAATTAAAAATAACCCTAGTACTAGAAGAAAGCATGTGAGGCTATTTTATAATCATGGGGTAGAGACGACCCCCTTAAGTAAGACATAAAACACAAAAACCATGAATAAAAATATTGATAAGTTGAACTACATACAAATTGTGGTTAAATTCTGCAGCGCAAAAAACACAGTGGTTGTTTCCTGAGAGTGAGGATGAAGGTCAAAGATGAAGAGAAAATGCGACATAGTCACTGAGGAAGCCAAAGACGGTATTTAAGGATTCAACTCATATCTGTAGAAGCATCATTGCGCATGATTGTGTTTTTCCCCAGCAGTATTCAACCAGTTTAGTAATCTTTAGGACCTGTCAATTAGGAGTTCTATTTAGTAGCTAGCCTCCAGAAAGGAAGCAACCATAGCTTAAATAACAAAGAGTTTATTGTTTTTCCCTCATAAAAAAGAACCTGGAGGCAGAAAACAGGGTCCGCTGTCCTTAAGCCCTCAGGCTCCAACCTTTCTGCTCTTTGTCCTGGATACTGGATTCTATCCTGAAGGTTGCCTCATGGTCCAAGGTGGCTGCTAAGACTCTGGCCATTATTTCTGAATCCAAGTAGGAAACAGAAGGAAGGAAAAAAGGACAAAAGACTATGCCCCAGTTGTCTGTCCCCCTGACAGTTAAGACAAGGGTTGGAGATGAAGAGAAATGTGACACAGTCCAGGAGCCTTCCTGGAAGTCCTACCCACATTTCCCCTGATATCTTATTGGCCAGAATTTAGTCATATGTCCCACATCTATCTGGAGGGGAGCACACGGCCACTCCAAATAAAATCAAGGCTCTGTAAGTGAGCAAGAGGAGGTGAATGGATTTGGGGTAAGCAAATAGCATCCCATCCCATAGACACGTGCAGGACTGGTGATCTGTCAGCTGGGTGGGGCAGGACAGGGGAACTCAGGAGGTCATGGAGCTGGTGAAGGGGCACAAATGGAGTGGAGGACTCACAGACAGCCTAGATAACCTGAAAGAAAGTGGGTTATCAGGAGACAATATTTCAGGGAGGTAAAAGCATAGGTATAGGAGGAGGATGACCAAAGAGAGCTGAAGTAAAGAACATTGTAGCATGAAAATGATGGTACGGCTGAGTGAAGTAGAGGTCACTGGAGTTGGGGGGACAGGTATGTCCAGTGTGTTAGAGGATTGTCCCTGTAGATGATGAGACCTCCCAGGAGGGTGGTCAGTGGTGGAGACGATGTGTGTGAACCAGGGGCCAAATGCGTAGGATGTGGAGGGGGGATAGTGCAGGGGGATGGGGAAGAACAAGAGTCC